GGTATGTCCACATCCAACAGGACACGCAAACTGTGGTATGTCCACATCCAACAGGACACGCAAACTGTGGTATGTCCACATCCAACAGGACACGCAAACTGTGGTATGTCCACATCCAACAGGACACGCAAACTGTGGTATGTCCACATCCAACAGGACACGCAAACTGTGGTATGTCCACATCCAACAGGACACGCAAACTGTGGTATGTCCACATCCAACAGGACACGCAAACTGTGGTATGTCCACATCCAACAGGACACGCAAACTGTGGTATGTCCACATCCAACAGGACACGCAAACTGTGGTATGTCCACATCCAACAGGACACGCAAACTGTGGTATGTCCACATCCAACAGGACACGCAAACTGTGGTATGTCCACATCCAACAGGACACGCAAACTGTGGTATGTCCACATCCAACAGGACACGCAAACTGTGGTATGTCCACATCCAACAGGACACGCAAACTGTGGTATGTCCACATCCAACAGGACACGCAAACTGTGGTATGTCCACATCCAACAGGACACGCAAACTGTGGTATGTCCACATCCAACAGGACACGCAAACTGTGGTATGTCCACATCCAACAGGACACGCAAACTGTGGTATGTCCACATCCAACAGGACACGCAAACTGTGGTATGTCCACATCCAACAGGACACGCAAACTGTGGTATGTCCACATCCAACAGGACACGCAAACTGTGGTATGTCCACATCCAACAGGACACGCAAACTGTGGTATGTCCACATCCAACAGGACACGCAAACTGTGGTATGTCCACATCCAACAGGACACGCAAACTGTGGTATGTCCACATCCAACAGGACACGCAAACTGTGGTATGTCCACATCCAACAGGACACGCAAACTGTGGTATGTCCACATCCAACAGGACACGCAAACTGTGGTATGTCCACATCCAACAGGACACGCAAACTGTGGTATGTCCACATCCAACAGGACACGCAAACTGTGGTATGTCCACATCCAACAGGACACGCAAACTGTGGTATGTCCACATCCAACAGGACACGCAAACTGTGGTATGTCCACATCCAACAGGACACGCAAACTGTGGTATGTCCACATCCAACAGGACACGCAAACTGTGGTATGTCCACATCCAACAGGACACGCAAACTGTGGTATGTCCACATCCAACAGGACACGCAAACTGTGGTATGTCCACATCCAACAGGACACGCAAACTGTGGTATGTCCACATCCAACAGGACACGCAAACTGTGGTATGTCCACATCCAACAGGACACGCAAACTGTGGTATGTCCACATCCAACAGGACACGCAAACTGTGGTATGTCCACATCCAACAGGACACGCAAACTGTGGTATGTCCACATCCAACAGGACACGCAAACTGTGGTATGTCCACATCCAACAGGACACGCAAACTGTGGTATGTCCACATCCAACAGGACACGCAAACTGTGGTATGTCCACATCCAACAGGACACGCAAACTGTGGTATGTCCACATCCAACAGGACACGCAAACTGTGGTATGTCCACATCCAACAGGACACGCAAACTGTGGTATGTCCACATCCAACAGGACACGCAAACTGTGGTATGTCCACATCCAACAGGACACGCAAACTGTGGTATGTCCACATCCAACAGGACACGCAAACTGTGGTATGTCCACATCCAACAGGACACGCAAACTGTGGTATGTCCACATCCAACAGGACACGCAAACTGTGGTATGTCCACATCCAACAGGACACGCAAACTGTGGTATGTCCACATCCAACAGGACACGCAAACTGTGGTATGTCCACATCCAACAGGACACGCAAACTGTGGTATGTCCACATCCAACAGGACACGCAAACTGTGGTATGTCCACATCCAACAGGACACGCAAACTGTGGTATGTCCACATCCAACAGGACACGCAAACTGTGGTATGTCCACATCCAACAGGACACGCAAACTGTGGTATGTCCACATCCAACAGGACACGCAAACTGTGGTATGTCCACATCCAACAGGACACGCAAACTGTGGTATGTCCACATCCAACAGGACACGCAAACTGTGGTATGTCCACATCCAACAGGACACGCAAACTGTGGTATGTCCACATCCAACAGGACACGCAAACTGTGGTATGTCCACATCCAACAGGACACGCAAACTGTGGTATGTCCACATCCAACAGGACACGCAAACTGTGGTATGTCCACATCCAACAGGACACGCAAACTGTGGTATGTCCACATCCAACAGGACACGCAAACTGTGGTATGTCCACATCCAACAGGACACGCAAACTGTGGTATGTCCACATCCAACAGGACACGCAAACTGTGGTATGTCCACATCCAACAGGACACGCAAACTGTGGTATGTCCACATCCAACAGGACACGCAAACTGTGGTATGTCCACATCCAACAGGACACGCAAACTGTGGTATGTCCACATCCAACAGGACACGCAAACTGTGGTATGTCCACATCCAACAGGACACGCAAACTGTGGTATGTCCACATCCAACAGGACACGCAAACTGTGGTATGTCCACATCCAACAGGACACGCAAACTGTGGTATGTCCACATCCAACAGGACACGCAAACTGTGGTATGTCCACATCCAACAGGACACGCAAACTGTGGTATGTCCACATCCAACAGGACACGCAAACTGTGGTATGTCCACATCCAACAGGATAAGCAAACTGTGGTATATCCATATCTAACAGGACAAGCAAACTGTGGCTTCCATATCCAACAGGATAAGCAAACTATGGTACATCTACGCAAATAAAACAAAAAGAGCAAGCAACTAATCCCCAGTGCAACTTGAAGAAATCTCAAAACTGTGCTAAGCTGATGAAGCCAAAGGAAAAATTCTCTGCCACTTGACCTCATTTCTATTTACTTCTTAAACATGCAAACTAATCGGCAGTGGCAGATAGCAGCCTGGTGAGTGGATGAGGCAGGGCAGTCACCACCTATCTAAGTGGAGCCAGCTTCAGGACCCTGCCCAGGTTTCTGCCACCATCCTGTGTGTGACCTCAGGGGAATCACTTTGATTCTCAGGGCATCAGTTTCTCCCTCTTAGGCTAATTACAGCTCAGAGGACAAGTACCTTCTAGTTCATGTGTAAAAAATGCACTGCTTGCTAGCATCTCCATTATTAAAACATTACAGAATCTGTGTGGCTTGAACCTAAGAGGCGTACTTTCAGCCACAGGATGAAAGGTGCTACCGACCTGGTAGGCGCCAGTGCACTTCCACAGGTGCAGTTTGGAACTGCTCCCCCTTTCCAGGCTCCGGCACCTGCCATCAAGGCAGCCAGCTTGCCACTCTGTCTCCTCCTCGCGCAATCAAAACCATCAGTCAGCATCCTAGCCGCCGCCCAACTTCAGTAACAGAGTAAAAGTGACCTGACAGCTGTTATTTTCTGTATAACCTCAGTGGGTAAAAGGCTGAGCATGAATGTGAGTTTTGAATCACAAATCGGAACCTGCAGGAGAGCCACCGACAGCAGGGAATGCCGCAGGTACTTCTGCAAACTCTGGGGCTGATGTGAGAGGGCTTCTCTTCCATTTTCTGAAAGCGTCAAAACCATACGCAGCTGGTATTGGCGAGTCCTGAGTTGGAATCCTACCTGTGCCGTCAGCAGGAGTGGGAAGACCAGGTAAAGCTTCCAACTCTTTCTTTGTAGGCCCTGGGTTCAGCCCCTCTCCCCAGGGTGCACAGGCGATACTAGGACACTAAGCATGTCCAGGCCAGCACAGGGCTCCAGCGGGGGCAAGCACTCTGCACAGTAGGTGCTGCCGTGGACCTCGTCAGTGAAGGAATGGGAAGAAACCAGGAGGGTGGTTCATGAAGTGCTTAACAGAAATTTCTGGAATCCAGAGCAGGAGCAGCTGTCAGAGATGCCTGCAGGCAACAGTGTCATTTACAAGGAGAACCCGCACAGGCTGCTGGAACGGAGCTAGGCCCCAGCCCCCAGCCCCCAGCATACAGACGCCTTTTTACTCATGTTCCCCTGCTCATGCCTCTAACACTCACCCGAAATCTGAACGGGGCCACCCGGGGGGTTAATGGCCCCTCAACGTGACGAGGCCAGTGCTGGACAGCCGTTTCATTTAGAGTGTTCCAGGTGCAGGAGCCCAGCCCACCAGTGATTGCACAGTGAGCCGCAGTGAAAGAGCAGACACTTCTGAGAGGCGGCAGCGTGCTGGCCACCGGACCGCAGAGCAAAGTGAGACAGAGACACGCTGCCCACCCTGCGGGCACGCAGCAGCTCCGGACAGCGTGCTCCGCTCCCCTCCACCCTCACCTCTTCTCCCCACTGCAGCTGTCCACAGAGGCACGAAGAGGAGCTGACAGGGTCATGAATAGGAGAGTGCATGTCGGGCTTCCCTAGCGGCTTCGAGTACAGTGGTCCTGCTCATGCAGATGCGGCTTCTGGTGGCTCCTGACCAAGAGCATCCCCAGTGACATCGTATGTTCGAACCAAGAGAGACATGCTGGTCAAGCGAAGTCACGTCTCATTAAAACCACTGTTTTTATGATCAGAAGCCCCCCAAAATGCAGCATCACAGTCACCAGGACTGATGGCATATTCTTTTTTTTTGTTTTTTTTTGGAAAAGTTTTTCTATAGGGCGCGTGTGCTCGCCAGACAGACAGAGACAGACAGAGAGATAGAAAGCAAGAAATCATCCCCTAGGGGGATGGCCACACCGCAATCCCTTCTCCTCCATTCTCCTCTCGGGGTCTTGGGCGCACACGCACACGCACCTGGTGTGAGTTTTAAGCCACCGGGTCCGGGACTCAGACCACGGTCGACTACGTGGGAGTCCAACGACACAGCCGTTACACTAACTGTTGGTCTCTGATGGCATATTCTTCTATCAGAACCCAAGCTTCAAAACCCCCAGTCTCTGAACCCAACAGGAGTTATGAAACCAGAGCCAAGGTAACAGTAACCATGGAGAATGTTCCTAAACACAAGTTTCTGGAAAAGTTCACTGCAATTAGCTCTGCACAGTATCTTCCTACAGAAGCCGCAGCAGGGATTGATTTCCGAATGACATAAACCAACAGGTGGATGGAGAACGAGGCCCTCTCACACAACCAGGTACAAGCCAGGCATTTCTCCCGCTCGCCCACCAACGAGCACCTGCCGGGGCACCTGAGGCAGCTTGTAGGGATAAAACTGAGGACCACACAGACATGCCTTGCCTTCATTGGGGGAAGACACCCTAACACAAGCACATACGCCAACACGCATGTAGTTATCAACATGTTACGTTTCTATGGGGGCAGGGGCTAAATGAGAACGGAAAGGCGGCCAGCGAGGTGGTGTGGCCGAGGGAACCTCTGGGGAGGAACGAGAGGCTGTAAACACGCAGAGAGGCTCGAGCCTTAAGGGGAGCATTGTCTAGTGTCGACACACCCGGAGACACGGACATGCGAGTCCTCGCTCACCGCTCCCTCCGCTGGGGCTGCGCGCACCTTCACAGACCACACTCTCCCGGTGAAAGCAGCTCTGGCCCAGAGCAGGGCACCCGTGCAAAAGAGATGCCCTCACTATTTTGCAGGGAGGGAGGTAACTGGGACAGACAGAGGGAAGAGAGTTCGGGCAGAAAAGGAAGGACACTCAGAGGCACCAGCCTGCTAGGAACTGAACCTGGCTGCAACTCAGGCAGCGACGGCTGAAACGCATCTGCTCAGCGGCCCTACAGCTAAGAGCCCATGTGGACTTTAAGAGAGACACGATCCTGACAAAATCCAAAGTAAGAGCCCAGGCTCTGGCTTGAGGGCCAAAATCAGGATCCAGTGGCCGGCACGACCTGGAATTCCACTGGCTGGCACAGCCCGGGTATGTCACCTAAAGCCCCAGAGACGGGCTCGGTGACCCACAGACAGTAGGGCCAGACTGCAGTCGAACAGCAGGAGAAAGCACTGTGATGACATCCCGACAGGCTGTCCAGTCACGGGCCAGCTCAGGGGATGAGGCGGTCAGCCCTGGGAGCTCAAGGACAGAGAGGGGCCCTGTTTCATCCAGTCCAGGTTCGGTCTGGAGAACAGGAACCAGAGCCAAGGCAGGTGCTGTCATGAGCCCTGCAGAGACAGAGTCCACCCCAATTCTGGAGACCGATCTCCTAAAACTCACGAGCAGAGAGGGGAGTCAGGGCTGAGTTAGACTACCAGTGTCGGCTTAAACCTACAGGCCGAACACGTACCACACACGTACCGCTGACTGCACATGCGTGTCCACCGCGAGCGCATCATGAAGGCGTAGCCACACCATGCAGGGGTGTGGACAGTTCACTCCCATCCCTGGTTATTAATCCAGGGACGAGGGTCTCCTGAGACAGTGACAGATATTGACAAGAGGAGGAGGTGCCCCCTGCAGACCCCATGCGTACACTCACGTGTTCTCATGAGGCCATTGATATGCAGGTGTGTTACACACGACACACAAGGGCCAGCTCGGCCCGCCGACCCCAGCCAAAGGCACGCTCACAAGGCGTGCCCTTCCTTTCCTCTCCTGCTGCCACTCTGCGGAGCAGGATTCCACTGGCTGCGCCTGCTGGGGGACCAGGACTGTGGATGAAGCAACTTTACACAATACGCGGAAGCAATTGGGCCTCTGTTGACCCTGACATAGACCGGCTACCCGGCCAGACCAAGTCAGTCTGCGCCTGAGGTCGGGAACCGGGCAGTGTGAATGGGCAGTGGCCATCACTGCTGTGGGTTGGGAGGTCCTTGAGGCCAAAGTTCAGCCCACAGATTTTGGATGCTGAAGCTAAAGTCCAGAGGGACAAACACAGTGGGTGAAGCAGGGACCTGTCCCTGATCCCAGTCCCTAGGCCTATCAAATTCCTCCAGGGCACCCAGTACCATCAAGGCTGGGGTCCCACCTGCCCGGATTCGGAGTCCGTTCCTAGTCTAACGAGAACTTGCCTGTGCTCTGTCCACCGATACGTGGCTGCTCAGGGACTCGGGGACTCGGGGCCTGGTGCTCGACCCACTCTCACACCACCAATGCCCAAAGGAGGAGCTGCCCTCCCAAGCACGCGCACACACGCACATGCACACACGCACACACTCAGAGCCGCTAAAATCCAGTCCAACACTCTATAGGTTCGCATGTGAAACGTATCAAGATTCACACGCCAGAAAGCGTCCTCCAGAGCGCACATTCACCCCACGTTCTCGGCAGAATGAAGTGCCCTTGCAGGTGGGGTCCACACTTCCTAAGTGCCGGCCCACACGGAGCCCACTGCACACCTGGCATCTGGGACCACACCCTGAGTCGTGCTGCTTCTAGGCACCCTTCAAGTCCCAACACGACTTGGACCAGCCGTAGAAAACGCTAGATGCCCTGTCCTCTGGACGATGGAGACACACGCGTCACCAGGCAGACTTGGACAGGGTGTCGTAAGCGCTCGCTGTACACGCCCTCAACTCCTGTGTGCATCGGAACTGCTTCCGGCATAAACGCTAAGGGGAGGGCCGCCTGGGCGTGTGGTTAATAAGCAGGCTGCACCTTCACAGCAAAGCACTCGGAGCACAAGAGCCCGGGCGAGTGGCACACGGGCTTCGCCAGGCAGCCCGAGAAGGGGGTGCTGGGAAAGGCACCGCAGATGGGTGAGGGTTCTGCAGATGAGCTGCGTGCTCTGCCCACACCCACACAGCACAAAGCACCCCACGTCTGTACCTGCGAGGGGAGGCACTCCGGGTCTTCCCAGATGAGTGAGACTCAAACGCTCTCATCTCCAACCAGCGCAGAAACTCCGCGCCGGGCAGCCTGCACCTCACCGCAGAAGCAGAGGTTGGGGTTCTAGAAAAAATGCAGGTTCCATCATCTCAGCGTGGGATTCAGACAGACCCCACCACCGCACAGCTCCCCATGCAAGCCGCCAGCAGAGACACAGAGGGCAGAACTACAACGTCCCATGTTCCAGGAACTCAGAGTTTCCAGGGAGCAAGGAGCTCGGGGAAAGGACGTGGGTGGAAGCCTTGAGGCGTGGACTGTCAGCAGAGAAAGATAAATAAATGCTTCATATCTGAGCATACAATGGCCAGCAGGTATCAGAATGAGAAACCTAGGGAAACTGCACTTTTCCAAGTGAAAAATGGAAGTGGGCGCTTCTGTGAGGGCGGCGGGCTTTGCTGAAGCAGAGAAGGGAGTTTCACAGCCTGGCAATGACCACCATGTCAAGAGCGTCCCACCCCCTGGGGCTCAAGCGGGGCTTCCTCTCAGAGTCCCAGGGCCTCTCCACTGCCCCCTTGTTCTCCTCGCCCACTGCAGCCCTTCCTTGCATAGCGCAGCCCGCTCACCTCTGCCCTCCCAGCGCTGGTTCTCCAGCTCCAGGACCAAAGCCATTACACGAAACATCTACTGGCCATCAGGCCAGTCTGGCCCTGAGTTCTGGAACACACCTCACTGACAGAGACACAGAGACGTAGAGACAGACAGACAGAGCATCATGTGGCACATGCCCAGAAGAGGCTTCCTTGGCCAGCAAATGGCCAGGCCACGCTGGCAGGGCCTCGGGGCCAGCACAGCCCGGGGTCTGCACCCAGAGCATCTCCAAGTCCCCCAGACTGATTCAGTCCCTGGGGGGGGGGTCCCCGTTAGCCATACTCACAAGTGACTGACGTACAGCTCAGACACCCATTTAGAAAACAGACAGAAGGAGGTTTGACAGGGACCTGCCTCTCAGCCTGCGTGACAGGTGTCAGTGGACCGACACAGCAAAGCCCCGCCCACAGGGACAGGGCCCACCTCCGCGAACCCCGCATAACCGTTTCCTGTGTCCTCAGCCTTCCTGCCTCTTCTCCTTCCTCATGCTGAGGCTCGCAGGAACTTCGGGCCTGCACCTGCCTGGTCTTCTCGACTGTCTCTTGCTCCTCTCTGCTGTCCCCCATCTCCCTGACACCTCTGATACTCCCCATGGCACGGCCACAAGCATGGCCCAATGGCCACCTCCACTGCCCAGCTGTGGCTGAGTATCATAGCACCTCCCTCCCCTACCAGAAATCCACCATCTATAGCTCCCACCGCCCGGTCAGAGGGCTCCCAGCTGCTCTCTGAGGTCCCCGTCTCTGCTCATTATCAAAGGCTCCCTGGCTGCTAACTCTGCTCCGATCACTGCTCCTCCACCCAAAGGCCTGGGAGCCCTTCCTGCCCACCCGTCCAACTCCTCTCCGGCTGCCAAGACCCCGGCCCCAGCCCATCCATCCTCTGGGAACCTCCCAGGCTGCTCGCGGCCCCTGCATATGGGAGTGGCCTCCTGGGCCACACTTGAAGGGCTAACAAACCCCTCACCTGTGTGGCCCCCAGCCTCACAGCCTGCGCTCTGCCAGTGGCAGCTACTCAGAAGACACCTGTCCATTGATTCTCACTATAGGCACACTTCCATACGAAAGGCACACTTCCATACTAAGCACAGCAAGGAGAAACACGGCCCTCCCACCCCAGCCCTCAAAATAAATATTTGCTTTAGCAAAGCCACTGGAGAAATTCTCACGGGCAGCCCCAGTCCAGCCCCAGTCCCGCCACCTGTGCAGGGCCCAGTTTAGCACCTGCTTGTGCATGTTGTTGGGGGGGAGGGACGCTCTCAGGACAGCATGGGAACAAAGAAAACAACCCCTGGAGAGTGGAGAGTTGGCAACACTAGGCCTTCCTTTTCCCTTTGTGTCTTAGACATAATTGCTACAAACAACAAGGAGAGGCCTGCTAATATGTAACCAAGATCCCAGGGGAGGGGGCCAAGAGCAGAGAAGTTTCCTCTCCCATCCCAGCCCAGATCCAGGGGCTGAAACCCAAGCTGGACCTGGGACCCACCAGAAAGAGCACCCCAACTACTGAAGTCTGCCTGGAGCCAGGAAAAGCCCAGGGGGCCCCAGCTGCGGTTTCAGGGGGACAGCCCACACCACCCAGGTCTCCACGGCCAGGACTTGCTGGTGAGGGTCTCACGCTCACAGCTCCAATCACAGAGCAGTGACGTCTGCCTCACAAGACACGACAGACTGCAGTCAGTCCTAAAGTCAGAGCCCGACAGAAGACATCGCAGAAATGGCTTAGTCACTCGAATATTTGTTTCTGAACAAGCTAATGACAGAATGAAAACCACAGGGAGGAGGGGGTGATTACAAGGCACCGCAGGTCTCACAAAATGAACGCCGAATGGCAATGAAAGGCCTGGCCGCGCAGGGACCCAGGGGCCGCTGCCTGACAGTGTGTCCAGCTGGAGGCAGAAACGGCCGCACACCTCGGCACCCGGCCCGGCACACAACGACAGGAGCGAGGCCATCGGGCCACTAATTCCAGGTAGCCCCAAACCACGACTGACACCCGCCAAGCAAAATAGACTGAGGCGGGAGTCCAACCACCGCGACAGGTACGATCCCACCTGCCGGCCCCGCGGTCTGGAGCGGGGTGCCGGGTGCCCACGCACGGTCAGCGGGTGAAAGCGGCCTCACAACATGGCCATCTTTCTACTGACACCAATCCCAAACCCAGCTCCAAACAATACATGGATACTCAGAGACCCAGGTCTGCTTTCGCAGCTAAAATTAAGTGTGTGTGTGTGTTTGAAGTCGGGGTCACCAGCACGAGCTTCTAAGGGGAGCAGATAGCATCACTGCTCACAATAGCACCGACCTTTGAAAACAACAAAGAGCGGGCAGGCGGGCTTCCGGAAACGCCTGGAAAACACCCCGGCCCTCCCTCTCACAGAGGGCCCGTGGAACTGCAGGGCATCGGCTCCCCCAGGTTGGTTTCTTTTTCATAGAAGGTCAGTTACCAATAACACCAACCTTGCCGGAGACCACCACCACGCTGGCCAAGCCCGCAGTCCTACGCTCAAGTAGAAACTCTTCCATGAGGCCAAGACAGGTCTTGCCACGTGTTGGACACACTCCTTCGGAAAAAACGTTTTCAACTTCTTCCTCTCAAGTATCCTCACCACTACTAGCAAATCCCTATCGACTAAAACTAAAACCTGTGAAATTAAGGCTGAATTCACTTCCTGAAGGTACCACCTTACCTCTGAGAGACCATCTGAGAACACGGTGAGGGGAGGCGTGCCCTACGCTGGAAACCAGCGTGGTTCTAGTTGCTGGGCCTTACCAAATCGTTAGTGAGCGTGGCCAGCAATTATTGGGAATGCTACCAAGACTGCAAACAGAAAGGGTTTCCCACCCTTTAAAAAGGAAAAAAAAAAAAGCCTCTACCCATAATGCTAATGACAACAGAGGCAGGAGCAGTTTAAAGATCAGACAGTTGCTTGTGTAGCAACACTGCACAAACACTCCAACACTGCAGCCCAAAAAAGACAATCCCCATCAGACAGCGGGAGAAGTGTGAAATTTGCAAATGAGCCCCTGGTGAAACAAAAACACCAATCTGTTCCCAGAGAGCTCCGGGGTGGCCACCTGTTCCGGGCTGGTGGTGGTGAGTTCTGAGCACGGATGGGAGAAACAGGACTGGGGCGATGACAGCCCCTCTGGGGCCCCGTCCCCACCCTCAGGCCTATATTTAGTCTGCTCTCTGCAGAGAATGTCCCAACCTTGCACACAAACAAGCTAGCTGGCTGGTTATTCAAAGGCTCCATTAACGACCTCTTCTGTTGGGAATGACATTTGTCTTCCTGCCCTCCCTCGCCCCCAGGCGCCAAGATACCCACTGCTCTTCTTGGTCAGTAGACAGCCAGAAGATGGTGGGACTGGGCCCAAAGGGAGAGGCCGGCTCTGGGTAGGGTCTCACTGCGTCTTGGGAAGGTGCAAGCTTCCCTGTCTATGCCGCGGGAAGCAGAACTCCCTGTCAGCCCCTCAGAGGCGGAAGGTCCAGACTCCCTGCAGCACACAGCCACAGGCTTGTGCCCCAAACACAAGTAACAGATGCTGTGAAGATCGGACACCAACATCTGTAGGGTGCATTTTGTTTCTCAGAGAAAGGTACTTAACAAAGGGAAGGAATTATGCAGATGAGCACCAGATCAGGACCCCAAACCCTGGATTTTAAAAATAACTAAGCCTCATCCGCTTTGCCAGACTCAATCACTTAAGCTAAGGCCTGGAAGGTTCTGGAGTGCTGGGAAGGGGGCAGGGAGAGGGACTCAGGTTTGTTGAGTGTTGAGAAACATGAGACAAAACCAAATCAGTAGTTAAAACGAACCAGACTCACAAACTATAAACACCTGCAGGGAACACGGGGAGGCGAAGGGTACAAAATAAGGGATTTTAGTCTTGACAAAATAAAAAGTCTGGTTTGGACAAAGAACAGAGGTGGCAGGAACAGGGCACGGGTTTTGTTTTGAAGGTCCCGGCAGCTGCTGTAGCTGCTTCTTTCTCTTTCCTGACTCACTTCCTTCAGGCTCTTTAAACAGCTCTTTAAACTGCTAATAACACACAGCTCCCGCTTTTAAAGAAAAAACTGTGCTTGGAAACAACAGCAACAAAATGTATCGTAGCCCATTTCTTAGTGAACACTGGCCAAGCCCTTCTGAGTATACCCAGCAATCTCCGAAATACAGAAGGAAAACCCCCAGGACTGCGGACTGAGACAGGAGGAGACGGGACAGCGGCTGGTTGCCTCCCGGCGGGACCCTCCTGGCAATGCCCACTTCCACCTGACCGCTTCCCGGAAATTCAGCACCTCGGGGCACTCAGCTCCTTTTCCAACAGCAGCACAGAGACAGTGAGAGCATGCACCTGACACTGCGGGGCCCTGGGTTTCGATCCCTCCTCCAAGCGGTTTGGAGGTGAGGCCAGAAGCAACTTCCAAGGAGCCAGCCCTCAGTGTCGGCCCCTGCACCCTGCGGGCAAGGCTGACCACAAGGCCTCTCAGCCAACCCTGAGCACAGCGTGACGTCCCAGAAAAGGTCCGAGTCTGCCGGGTTCCAGTCCTCTGCACACGGCTCCCCAGTGTGGTCCCCAGAGCACAACAGCAGCACCCTGCCCCCCTGTCAGAACGCCACTCCAGACCTACAGACCTAGGACTGTGGGAAGGACATGCTCGCACAAGCTCTCGATGTGACTAGACGCCGCACTCTAGTTTGAGCACCGCGTG